CGCGTTCGATTTTAATTAGCTTGAGACTAATTTTATTGCTTTCTCGTTAACATGCTGCGGTCGTATAAGGTCGACCCTTTTTCACTGCGGACCCGACCACGTACGTGCATATTACGCACGTGACGCGTGGAAGCACGCCGTACACATACGTCCTAATTTATGTTACTGCAAAACATTAAATTTCATTACATCGCTCCATGCTGTTAGAATCTTTTTTGCGTTAATTTTTCGACGCAGCGCACCGCACAGAATCATTTCCTTTTATTTCTGAGTTAACGTTAGAGAGAACAGTCTGACTGAGAATTTTACGTCGCTGAATTTCTCGATTAAGTCCACCGTATGCATTTTTGTAATGCAGCGCGGATATGTATAATGCAAATATATATTTGATTTTTAATTAAATCTTATATATGTATTTTTTTTCCTCTATACAATATAACCAAACGTTTGTTAATGTATCAAAGAGATCAATGAGCCCATTTGAAATGTCATCTATATTTGTATTTGTTGCGGCATACATGAACATATAGCCGTTTCACTGTAATTAAGTGCCAATCTTGAAATGGGTTTGCAATCAAGTATTATTCATATAGGTTTCGCGGGCAATTGCCACTGCTCGTAAACTACCTGCTAAATTTGTTTACGCTTGTCACAAATTATTTATTACGTAACGTTAGTTACTTTATCAAGCTCGACAGAATCGCTAACCCAAATACAGGGGATATATACTCTGACAAATAATGACATCGGCACGAGCCAAAAACAGGCTAAAATGCGCATGTACAAATTATTAAATTTGTCCAAATTGACGCTTATCGGGTGAATAATAAATATCCGTTTCTGTTACTGGCAACCATCGATACAATAGCAATTATTCAAACGACGGATACGAGGGTATAATTTAATTATTGCGTACGCCGGAATTAAAACAATTTTTTAACAGATATGTGATAATTAAAAAGAACATGCATACGGACACTTATTGAAATATATATCAATAAAACGTATGATACGCATTAAAACAAATATATGTAACGGATAGTATACAAATTTTTAAATCAAAATGAAAAGTTGAATCTTTTAAGAAAATTTGAGAGATAATAATACTAAAAATTTAATTTATAAATGACCGTAAATATCAAAACGAAGTTTTTAAATATAATATTTAATTGTAAAACAAAATTGTATTGTATTTCTTAGATATTTCCGAATAGATTTTATGGTAAGAGATCGAAAATTAACAAAAAAAATACCTGTTTTTCAAATTATACTTTCACATAACTAACTAAAGTTAATTTTTCGTAAATATAGAGTATTGATTAAAGAATTCGTGAAGCATAACGATAATTCGGGAATGCCCAACGTAAAAATATAGTTTATACAGAGTATAAACAAAATAAATGAACATTTAGGAAATACACTACTTGTCTCCTTAGAAATAGAGATTGACTTATCATTTTTTCTCGGTAAAATTTTAGATTAAGGGAGCTCCCCCTCCCAATAATCTTGATCTTGATAATTAGAACCAATGATATTAGAAATAAACCGTAATGGTCCAGCTGGATCTTGGGTGCTTCTATATAATTGCGTGTAAATTTATATGTAAGTAGATTTTTTATCTGAGCGCGCTGAATTTTTTCAGACTTGAAACGCAAGCTCTGCTAAACTACCGCAGTAATATCACGAGTTAAATTGACTAACAATTTAACAATTTTTCGATTTGGAAAATAACTTTAGAAATACTTAAAATAATGAAGTAATTGTTATTGTATTTGCGTACAGTATGTATTTTTCTGTGTGCGCAGGAAATATGAACGGAATTATCCATTCCTCGTGGACACATTGTAAATCCTGCGCCTAAGCGCAGACAACCGCTCCGTAGAGCGGCAAGGCTGATTTCGGCTCCATTTCAAGCATTGTTATTCAGTCTACGTTTGCGCCTATGTAAATGTTGGTTAAGCCCACGCAGGCTGGCAGAGTCCCTCAGATTCGCCCTATATCATAGCTGTGTGGGAAGACTATAATCCCGCTGCCTAGTAGTTTCCTTCTTGCCCGTGCAACGTTTAAGGCGATATCTCTGGAAGATCTTACTGTCCATCTTCTTCAAAAGCTTATCCAAATATAGCGAATAGTAATACAAAATCAAGCTTAATAAATTCAGACAAACAGTCGTTTTCATTAGTATTCATTAATAATAATAATTTTATAGTTTCTGCATAAAAAAAATAATGGGATAAAATGCATATGAAGGTATGCAAAGTAAGAATTGAATCTCATTTTGTGTGTGTGCGCGCGCGTGCAGTTCGAATTCGAATAAAATCGAATCGAATCATAATGGATTCAATTCGTTTTTGAATTTGATAAATTTGAAACCGAGTAAGTTAAAACGTACTTAGTAAATACTTTAATTTTGAAAAAAAAAAACTAGTTCTGTCTCTCCTTTTCGGCCTTCTCTCTCTCTCTCTCTCTCCATCTTATTATCTTATGATGCAGCTGCAACTGTATCATCCAGTAAGTAAGTATATATTGCATGAAACACGCCACTTCACTCGATGTAGTCACATTACATTAACGAGCAAATTTCATTATCTGTGTCCTAACTTGATAGAGAGTAATGCGAGTTAAAAAATGAAATCTCCAAAGTATACTTCAAAGTTTTAAATCTTCTTCGATGGTCTAGCGCTGTACGCAGATAAAGAATTCGGTAAACAAATAAAAGAGACGCTTGTTTTATTGCGATAAGTTTCTGCGTTTTCTGTTTTTATTATATGTGCTATCATGAAGAATAAATATTCTATCTCGTCACAAAATCGTCGATAAAAGTCGTCAATCTTTACACGTGAATTGCCAGATGAAACAACAAACAATGCAATTAATGCGGAGCTTTTATTCATATTTAAATTATAAAAAACAATTACAAATAAATAACTAAAAAGAAACAAAATAAAATATTATGATGTACATAATAATATAAAATATTATTGAAAAATTAAGTGAGAAATTTATATTGTTAGTTAAAAAATCAATTATTTTATACTCTCATTATTCTTTTCGTTCAGTTATCAAAATAATCATCCGTCCTATATCAATCGATTATTACATCAATATTATCAGGAAAAGAATGTTCCTCAGGATTCGGACATGATTGAGATTAATTCTGTTAATTAATCGCCGAAGAAATGTGGTAAAATGAAAAGCGCCCATTATTCGCTACAAGATTGGTGACCGGACGAAGGTGCCACTCTTGCGAGTACTCTTCGTGCCCCTTCCAGTCGATATAGCTCGTCGGAGCTTCATTCATCTTAAGAAATCCCCTTGAAGTGGCCTTCTTTAAATTGAAACTCAAATACACACCTTTAAAGAGCGAGCGAAAGAGCCCTTGAGGCACCGTTGAGCCCATTCGAGACGGTTATTTTTCACGCCGTGGCCGAGAGACTCGTATCACTATAGTGTGATTAGTGGGCACCGCTAGTACGATAAGGTAAGATAATTGTTACGGGAAATCAATTCCGAATCGCATAAATATGCATTACGCGTTCAGTTATGCTCGGGAAAGATTGTTATTCAGACCAATATAATTATTTGCACGAATACGCACTATAAAAACATTTCATTAAAATTGTAACAAAATTGATGGATAATTTTAAGATCCACTATTAAAGATGTATATTTACGGTAAATAATTAAATGTGCGTAGAAAATGAAATTGCCTACAAAAGTACACTTTTTTTTCATGTTGTATACCTCTTGTACAAAAACCTAAGTTTTGCGTGAAGGCCTGAAGGATCTTGAAGCTGAAGCAGAAAGTTTATTCATTCGTTGCTAATCAACTCAAGAGAGTAATTGAGAGAATCGTGGATGTGGTGCACGAAACATCACCAGAACAATGTTTAGTTGCGACACGAGCTGTTCGTACTAACAGCTAGAGATACAATGCTTTCGTTGTTGCAAGAGGTCAACATTTTGAACAATATTAAGAAAGTGAATAAATAAGTGTACATGAATAATGTAATAAATAGAATAATAGATATATAAATGAAAATTATGTTTCGCTTTTCTTTGTGATTCTCCAAAACAAAGGAAAAATGATCTTTAAAAGATTTTTTACAACTAGTTTATACACTCCCTACACACTCTCAAAGTTTGGCCATTTAAATTTGACAACATTAGTATTATATTATAATTATCTCAAAAACTATAACAGATCACATGATTGTTGAGGTAAAGTTATTCAGGATCAAAGTGTTATCGATTATAATTAATCTAACCATTTATCTAGATTAAAACTGATCAATATATTCTCCTTGTTGAAATTTTTAATAGATCGTAATCTATTTATCTAGATTAAAATTAATCGACATATTTTCTTTGGTGAAATTGTTAACATATCCATAAAATGCATGATGACTAATTTTTTTTATTACGGTAATAATAAAAAAAATACAATAACAAATGACATGAATTTTATCACGCTAATTCATTAATCGCATTACACTACAACGAAATGTTCTTTAATCATCATTAATAAATGAATTAGTTCAAAGTGCAAAAAAAAAACAATTAATAAGCTGTTTAAGAAAATTAACTTTAATCATAAAGTTCATTTTAAAACTATATGTATCCTTTTGTTGTTAATATTGTAAGAAAAATAACAGTAAATAACAAATCTGAATTAATTTAAATATTAGGTAGCATTAATCAAAGATATCGCTAATAAATTTCAACCTCAAGTTATTATATTAGTAAGACGAGAAAGAGAAAGAGAGAGAATGTTTCTTACAAACATATTTATTATATAATATTTAACACACGGTACATATAAACAAATATTTTCACACATCAATATTATTATATTGAATATTAACATATAAGATTTTGTCTCTTTACAAACATATACATCCACATGTACCTAATACTAGATCATATATAAAAGAATATGTTTTATTATTTAAATATATATTTTTTTATTTGATTTGATCATCTTCTTTTAATGAGATTGTTTATGTGGTATTGCCTGTAATATTTACATTGCAAACTTTCTCGGTAATTAAAAATTGTATTAAGATTAATAAATATGTAGTGATGTTACTCACTATCTAAAATTAAAATTATATATAAATAAGCAATCCACGATGTCTAAAATTTAAAACAAATAATCATTTACTCACCGCAACGAGAAGGGTTGCGTCTAATACAAGACCTTTTGCGGAAAATGTATTTTTTCGTTGCAGTACTTGCAAGGAAAATAGCTGCAACTATACAAAACATCAGATTATAAAGAGATAATTAAATACAACATTAAAAAGTAATTACTAACTGCGCAGATTTAAAGTCTGACACACGAGATATCTTCAGAAAAATGTACAAATCAAATTTTATTGTTTTACTTACTTCATCTTTGATTTGTTCATCGATAGTGTCGTTCAGTATTTCATGAATAGTGGTACCGACTCTCATGGCCTCATCCTTGCCTGTATCACAAACCCATCCAATCAATGACATTTTTATGGATTGATACGTTAAAGACGATACCAGTAATACATTAAATAACGCGTGATCTATCCCCATGTCAAGTCCCCAAAATGTTATAAAATAATATAGATAAAAGGTAAGCTCAGCAAAAGTTATAACTATAGTAGCGAGTAGTTGTAGACTGAAAATCGTATTCAACATGTGTACTGCGTCACTGATCATCAAATGTTCTTTTTTCAAAGCTTTCAGTTTCATTAGTAGGAATGGATTCCTTTGCTCGTGATAAATTCTTCTCAAAAGATGTGATTCGTCGTTCACCACGAGCTTTCGAAAATTTGTCAGATTATCATTAATTTTCTTAAAACAAGCTTTTAATATGCATACACAATTCATATACAACATATCCATTTGAAATATTATCAAGGTGATGTACGGTACGAGAATCGTGTCTATGTTACCAAAATCTACTGTAAAATGATAAAATACCATTCGTCCGACTACAAAAAAGAAACCAAAAATATCTTTAGTGTGAATCAATCTAGATAGCTTTCGATACGAATCAGGAGACAGTCTCAAAGAGATTTCTATTATATTTTGGAGTAAGTGCATCCGAGGACCGTTCATAATGTATGTAACAACTACGATAAAGCCGCCTAATATAAAAAAACAATTGCGTTCAAGAAGCATAGGAACGTTCCTATACTTGATTGCTTCAGAAATGTCAATCCAATACAGCATTATTAGTGCATAAATACAGAAAACACAAGTAACGACAGTTGTCAGAACACAGCGCTGTTTTGTCGTTTCAAAAGTTGAAGCGTTGATGCGATATGGAAATATTCCAAGTATGCGGCAAAAGGTGAAGCAGGGATACATAAGCGATTGAAAGTCCGTAGCATGGAACAGCTGCGATTTTTTCCACATTTTGCACATAACACATTTTTGAAATTTCATATTTATTATTATCGGTAGAGTAAAAGTTTCCAGCAATTTATATCAAATAACAACTTAGATTACACTGTCCAAAAATGATCACTCTTCACACCTTAACGTTAACATGAGAATTTCTTTCTATATGTAACCTTCAAGATTATTTGGTAAGAATTTTTCATTGATCTATCCTTGCTCATTCTCCATTTACAACTGCAAGCACTTGCAACATCGAAGCAATCTAAGCGGTCAATTGTTAGTCATGAAGTAACCATGGTGCTTTTCGATCGGTAATCATCACGTTTTGATGTGCAGAGTAGGAGAGACTAGAGACAAACGTAACACGGGAAATGTAAATAAATAATTAACTTAAAATATGTATTTCTATAAAACATATTTTTAATGTTTTATTAAATTTGCAATTGAAATTACTCCTCGTTAATTAAATTGGGCTCAATTTAAGAATACAGTAACAGGTGTTAACGAAGACTTTCACGGAACCTTTTCAATACTCATTCAACATCGTGACGTTTACACGCTATGGTTGGACGTTTTTAAAAGCTCTCACCATTTAAGAACTATTGATATCTTACTATTGATATTTTGCTATTAACATTTTCGACTTATTGTTAGTTTTTTATGTGGAATACATAATGCTTCTCCAGTTAGTCCGAATCATCAATAATTATGTATTATTCTGCTTTATTGTCCTTTATCGTTATCTTTTATTTATATAAACTGTTTATGTATATATATAATTTTATATATAATTATATATCCTTTATTATCCTTCATTATTCTTATCCATTATTTATAAATTGTAATAACACTATACATCCAATAAGGAAGTTTATTTTACATTAAAATTATTTTATTTGTCGTTCCTGTACGTTTTATGTCAAATCCAATTATATTTTATTATAATTATATCGGAAACATTTATATCAGATGACAGTTCTTCGAGTAGAAGAAAAATGTAAGTTTTTAACTTTTTTCCAATTTTAGTACAAAATATAAACAATATAAAAAATAAGAAATTATTCTATTATAAAATTGAATCGCAATATCTGACTTTTCGCTCTTTACGAGACAGGTTTATCATTATTGTTGTTTATTACAACACGGAGCGGATCATGCGTGGCATTTTTACTGATTTCTTTCATATTATTATTATCACATAAGTATTATCGCGCCGACGCTGTCGCTCTCTCGTGATCCTCTTTCGTCCTATTACTACTGATGCCTGTTTATACGAACGCAGGGCCAAGGCCCGAGCGTAATTAGGATATACCTCCTGGAAGACGTTCTACCAGCACGGCGCGCTGTGAAAAATACATACCTTCGCTGACATAAGGACGTTCCACCGACCCATACCGCCCGCGGACAAAATCCTGTCACTTTAAGTGAGTTACACCTCATGTCCTCATTTCTCCCTTAGTTTCCCTTATTTATCGTGGCCTATGTATCGTTATGTTTTTATTTATTTGACCGTAATGCCAGGAAATGAATGCACGCGCTCGGAAAACTTTGCATAATCTGAAATTCAAATTGTGATTGACCGCCTGATCCGAGAGGATGTCCTTCTGATTTGAACGACGCACCGCGTTCGTTCGTATACGGCTGCGGTCGTCGCTTGCTCTCAAATCCGATTACGCGTTTAAGTCTTGCGCTTCGAGATACTTATGCATCTACCGTACACTCCCGCCTTTAACGTTCATTACTGCCTTGATTGTACGGTAGACGCGATGAAGCGTGTGATCAACCACGCGATGAGATTACTCGTCGGATTATGCGAATGCGACAGCGCGGCAATATGCGCGCACTAATATGTTTTGCAGAATAAACGTTCTATCCTCCGATAACGATGTAACGCGCGAATAATATTCCGCGGCACTCGCGCGATCAACAATATCATCAATGTTGCTTCGCTGATGTGTGCACGCGCGTAAAAACTGGACCCGCAGCCTCTCATCACATTCTACATGGAACGTTATATTCTCTTCCTATATTTTTTCAAAGCTTTCTTATTATAATATTTTGAGTCGCAAATGAGATATTCTGTATATATTGTAACACATTTACCTAATATAATATGATTATTACTAAAGCGTAAAAATGAAATAATTAAATGATATGATATTTCATGCGTCGTCCTGTACACTTAATTTAATGGTGTAGGTGTAAGGAGTTCAGGATGGAAATGTAAAGTGCGTTCCGTTTCGCGCATCGATGCATCAATTGTTCTTGTTTAACATTTGGCGAGGAACAAAGATAAACGATACATTATGCGCATCGTATGAGAAACGGAACGCACTTTTGGTACACGAGAAAAAGGTCGAGATGTCCATTCTACGGTTTCTCTCTGATACTACTAAGGCCACGGTGGTTTAAAGACGTTCGCACGGAATGTTAGAGATCCGGATTCAACTTCCGGCCGAGGTAATATTTTCCACAATAAAAATTAATTATTTATAGACTTTATTGTATTTATATTAAGATTATTTTAAGAATGCGTAAGAATATCGAATTGTTAAATTGCTAGTCAAATTAACTCCTGATATTACTGCGGTAGTTCATTAATTGAATATTACATATCCTTAGAATAGGATCAGATATTTTTCCTTCGCATATCCATTCCAGTTAAGATGACGAAAATGTAATAACATGATCAACCTTAGACTCCAATAACGGATCGCAATCGAACATTATTACATCATCCCCGTCTGTCACCGTCACGGGAATGTAATTTCTGCTACGTGCTTCGTGGCTGTAGACATGTGTGACTGTAGACACTTAATTCTCTTTACGTTACAGTGAATTATTTCAAACGTGTTTCTCTACTCGCGACGCCACAATAGAACGCGGGCGGAATCTCTTTTGGGAGAATTATTGTGGCGACCGCGTGGAAGCGTGCGGTCGGTGGCGCGATGACAAAGAGCCGCATCCCATTTTTCCGCCCGGGGTGACGACGCGTCGCCTAAGCGTATAATCTCTCAAGTATTGTTCGCATCTTCCGTTGATTTATCCAACTGCTTAAGGTGGAAAGGTGCGCGCACGCCATCGCTGTTGAGCGTCTCGTGCCAGGGGGAGTGCGAGGACATGGGAGGAACGGAAACACATCTGCCAGTTTTTACCGACGGCATCATATATCATAAATGCGAGTGAAACGTTAAGGGCGCGAGAGGGTGACCGTCTAGACCATTTATCTTGTACGACTTAACTCGGGAACGTCCGATACGTACAGGGTGTCTCGTAATACGCGGCAGTCCACGTATCCGGCAGATTGAGAAGGGTGAGTGGGGAAAGAGCACAAAACGACGAACGAAGTTCCTGATGGGAGAGAAACGTACGTACCTTCTCTTTGTTTCTGAGTTACTGAGCACGTTTTACGAAAGTTGGCAAGCAAGCTGCAGGCAGGCGACTTGACGACCTTTTTGACTGTTCATAGACACTCTTGGTTTGGCACGTATCGTCGAATAGTCAATTGTTTCTTCATGCTTTGCGTATTGATTATATTATCATCAATGTGTTTCTGCGATCCGAAAATAATAATAACTGTAAAGCTCTGAATATAATGCAAGGTAATAGCGATAGAAATAACGATAGCGATAAAAACAGAGGAATTCAACATTGGGGAATGCACATAAATTTCCGACGAGTTGGAATTCTGTGTCTGTCGCTTTGTAGCCTACCAAGCAGTGTTCAGATTTTTTTCATTCTGTTTATAGTTTATATACACCTTGAAGCAGATGGAAGAGTATACTACATTCTATACGCGATCAGATTGGGGTTGGCGTTTTATTGCTTTTGTGACGTACAACGAGAAGTTATAGTTATACTATAACTTATTTCTATAATATATCTCTATCGCTGTTCTTGTCGCTGTTGCCTCGTATTGCATCTAGGGCTTTAATATGTACACGACAACAGAAGAGTCTTAACACACGAAGTTATACGAGTATCGAGATACATTCGGAATCCCTATTCTTGAAAAGAAAAGTTTTATGTGATTTCAAGAGGGACGTAAGATATAATACCATTGGTTAGGTTAATACCTTGGACGGTGTTGTCAAAGTCAGGGCAAAGTCACTTTAAATTTTTTTAATGGAACCTTCCATTTTTATCGCATATTTTCGTAGCTTTGAGAGCTGTTATATATAAATAAAATATTTTTTTATTGAGTATTTTTCTACCAGTAATGTGTCAATGACACGTTAATCGTTTGTGTATTAAGTAAGTCCTATATATACTGTGACTAATCGTCTTTAAAATCCCCTTAAGACATTCCTATCTCCGTGTGTATAGTAATCAGTTATCGGAAGATTGATTGATGTATAATCGCGACTGGACATTTAATCAATAATTTTCCAACGTTAAATAGTTGTGACACTTGGTCGCGTATCGTAAAATGAGATAGCTTTATTACATTATAACACTTAACTTTAGCTAAAATTTTTAGTCCAATCAGGATAATTTTGATCCAAGCTTTGATAATGTTCGAATACTACATTAACATCTTACGCAGCATACACATACATTTTTGTATATAACAATAAAGTTTTAAAAGAATAACAACGGAATGAGAGTCCTTTTACTATAATTAATTTTTTTCATTAAATATAGAACATTATTTACGTAAATTTTAGGAGATGTCTTATACAATACTTTTGGTATTTTAATTAAATTATTTTGTATAAATGTATAAATGCATAGACGTATAAATGTAGAATATTATGTTGTTTGTTTAAATTTTCTTTCGTCCCACGAGTGACCGTTCCACGGAGCGCTCTGTTCAAGTACACAAAACACGGTTAACACACATATAGAAATTCAGGTAAACGGACATACATACGTGTGTTCATACATACATCGGTTACATGGATACTCACATGTTCCTATATTAAAGGCGCACCCTAACGCAATAATGTCTCGACAACGCTGATCCAAGATGGGAGCAGTTTTTCTTGGTTACGTCGGACGCGCGAAGGTGTTCCATCTACCCCGCATACGAAAAGCTCCGCGCGAGGTTTTGTCCCCCGACGACGACGAATCATCTGGAGATAAACGACTCTACACTGTCGATTTTGGCAGATCGTCTGGAAATTCATTTTCACCGAGAAATGTTAAACGATTCATCATAAAGTTACACACTCGCCGGCGCCATCCTTCGTGACGAGATTAACAATGTCAAAATGATAAATTTTTAGAGAAGATTTTTAGAGAAATACACGAATACCGGATAAGAACGTTTCTCGTTTGATATTGTTAAATAGGAAAAAATATAAACGATTGATGGTGCTCGAACAATTAAAGTTAAAAAGATCGTCGATCAGAAAATTAATCAACTGCTTTTATCATCGGATCAAATGTTTATACTTTATTGTGTGGATCTGTTGATTTTCTGTTGAATAGAACTACTCATTATCAGTTGGAAAGTTCGTGTTAAAATTAACACATTTCACGTATCCGCTCCAATTTTTATGTTAATTTGTATGCGATGAATCCTGACTTTGATCTTCTGCTGTTTATTTGCTGTTTATTTGGATATTACGCCGTTCTGCCTTCGTAATGCTTTCTCTCTTTTGTTTTGTATGTAACGCTATATGTAAAGTATGTATACGTGTTTTCCGTTCGTTTTTGTGTGAATGCAATAATTTTCTGACGTTTATACATATATGTATAAATTATAAATATTTTCAATGTAATTTTAATATATTATGCATAATATATTGTCTCGTTGTCAGTCAGCCTCTGTATTGAATTTTTCTGGTAGGTTTTAGAGCAACAGTATTGCAGGTGTCTCATCATTTGTGTACTTTCATACTTTTTTACATATCTCAGTAATTCTATACAATATATTAAATAAAAGATAAAATAAGTTTATGTATATACGATGTTTATATATTAGAAAATAATACAAACACCATATAATAATATAAAAAATGATTGATTTCAAAGCAATTGTGTGGCACTGGCAGCGTATTTCTTCAGTAAAATTAATCTTTATGATATTAAATTAACACTTTTTTCATTTACCTTACAATTAACGTAAGTTTTTGCATAAATAAAGGTACTAATTAAGCAACGCCAAACACATGCAATGTTATTACGTTTTTTTTTTTCAAGAAAAAGTATTAATATTATACATCAATACCGGGATCCTTCATTTTTGTTTACGCGTGGACAGAAATTTTAATTTCAAGATAACACACCTTGCGAAAACGAAAAACAACTGGATAACGAATTAATTCATCCGTGAACGCGCAGAGCGGATGAAAGGACCTCTAGCCGTATTGGTAAATTGAGACGTTCTCGCCGGGATCGTGCGGAATCCTCGACATTTACATTTTATGATATTTGTCGAGTCCTTCGACCTTACTTTGGCCTCTCGCGTGGAGAGCTTGGGGGAAGATAAGAAG